ATCTTTGATGTAATTCTCAGCTTGAGTTCCCTGATTTGGTCCTATGGGGGAAAGAAATATGCTCATTATCTTCTTAGACTAAAAGAATGACACCATCATAGATATAATCAAGATAGTTTTTATGGTTCTTCCACTATATTTTCAACTACCGGTATATTTCATCAGATATAAACTTTCAGACAAGGTTAACTCTAAACATCTATCATGCAAATACATGACATGTACTTTCTTTGGCAGTTCAGTCTATTGTAGATTATCTTGTTCGCCCCACTGGTGAGTTCTTTTGTGCCTTGAAAGCCTGGCCTTGACATGTACACACGTCAGATAATATAGGATATAGAGGATTACCTGTGTGAGTGTCCCTGACATGAGCTGCCTCCTCATCTGGATCAGTTCTAACATCAGTTTCTTGACTGTGTGGAACAGCTGGATCTGTCGCTCCTATACACAACAGATACAATGTACATGTACAGTACAGGTGTAACAAAAACATGTACATGTCTACACATGACAATGACCAGGGATCAGCTGAACTTTATTTCAACATATACATGTAACTGCCGATTCTAGAGCCCCTTCCTTCGAGCAGGAACATTGTATAGATCACCTGTTCGAACACAATGCAGACACGAACAGGTGGCTGGTCCCACTGGAAGGAGGGACTCAAACCGGCAAGAATACAACATTACAATTACAATTACAAACTTTTATTATATTATGATACTATTATATTACATTACACGAAATATGTAACAATGTAATATAGTATGGTAACAACATAACTAATGTGAAGTACTGATGTAACGTAATATATAATATGATACTATTGATAGAAGTTAATTTAATACATGTAATTGTAATCTTGTATTCTTGTCGGTTTGAGTCCCTACAGTTAGTATCATTTTCCAATATCATATTTCTTTGCAACTTACGACATATACTTTCTCATTCTGCAGCTGGTTTGTATGGTTCACAGCATTGTAGAAAACTTTTTTGGAGACGGACAAAACTTCATGCACACGTGGATGTCAAACATATAATCAAATCAACACTGTCTAATACAAAGCAATCTCCATATACATGTAAATTCAGATGTTCTGGCTTGTGACATCTACAGTAGACTTGGTTCCTTACCACATAAAGTCTCTTCCACATCTGTCCCCATTCCCTGAGCACTGATGTCACCTCCAGCACTGTGGGGTCTTCCACAGGACTCACTGTTTCATATTGCCTGCAATCAAAACATTCATTCATTTATATCCCATAAAACACAGTACATCATTTAAAAAAATATAAAGCTCTAGAGACATACAAATAATACAGAAAAAACCTGGATGCATAGTAAATTGTAAGTCTTTCGGAAGAAAGAGTTCCTGTAAAAGGCATCAGATCTTAGTAAGAGAAATGATGATTGCGTAATGGGAGGAAAATAATCATTTTAAGAAAGAGTAACAAATCCTCCTTCGCCTAGTTTCAAATGTGTCATACAAAACAAAAGCATACAAAACGGATTCTACAAGGTCTTTTGAACATGCCTACAATGTTTACCTCATATCAAACAATTGAAAGTTAATGGTTTTTGTCTTCCTTTACTGACTACTGATGTACATGACATGTAGTCCTTAGAAACTATGTAGAAACTATCACCATTTCTTCAGAAAATGCCATGTATATTAGCATAAAATCAGGTCATTCATAATTTCATTAATAAAAAGGTAAACATACTTGAATGATTAAAATCTATTGTAAAGTAAAGGATGAATTTTGTCTTTATCTAAATTATACAGACAGTTTCAGTACTGTACAAAGTGTATATGACATTATGTGTAGTTTTACTTCTTACTAGTACTACTATATTATACTTATTAATAAATCCTTACCCTATATTTTCCACTTTGACCTCTTTCAGGTGGACATAGGATGCTGGAAAAACACCCTGAAGGACAGAATATGAATGATCTTGAATTTACAACCAGTGTAAAACAAAATAACAAGATTACCACATAGTAATGATGAGAGTATGGATGAAAAAAAATTTACAATTCATCTTGTAGTTGTACAGCAATGCAAGTACATTGTACAAATTTGAATAATTCAATTAAATTTAACTCAATGTCTAAACTTGAACAGTTAGGGAGTTCAGGTTCAGACAGAACTGATGAACTAGCCATGAACCTGAAGCTGAACCTGAACCAATTATACAAAACCATAAACAGAGAAGGAGATGAAAGCATGTGCTTGTTTAGCATTCACCCTGTCTCCTTCACGGATCAAAGTCCCAGATACACATACAGTACACAAGGCAGGGCTCCAAATACCACCAGGTTAGGGAAGGGAAAATTCAAGCTGTGCCCATTTACTGGGGTTATAAATTTAAAATCCACATCAGGGCTGGAAATACTGGGTGCATGAGCATCTTAGTGCACCCAAATTTGGAGCTGTGCACCCATTTTTTTTCTGTGGGTGCACCAGTGCACCCAAGGAGGTTCAAAACCTTTTGAACCTCCTTGGTGCACCCAAATATTTTCAAAGAAAAGGTTATGGTAGTATACAGCATATTCCTAACATCTAAGTGTCAGAAAAATATTATGAAATCATTGTTATAGTAGTTTTCTTTAAAAATGAAACTATTTTAGTCAGTGCACAGTAAACCAGTCAGTATTGCCCTGATGAAGATGACAGAAGGTCATCGAAACGTCGGCTTGAAAAATAAATGGTTGTGATAGAAAGAACTTTGCTATTCAGTCATTTACCAACCTGATGAAATTATTTACGGATGGAACTATTTCAGTTTTTGCTGAATCTTATGGTGCACCCAAGAAATTTTTTGTGCACCCAATTTTTTCGGTTTTGTGCACCAGTGCACCTATTCCCAAAAATGAATTTCAAGCCCTGCACATACATGTACACATACATGTACACCTACATGTACATGTACATGTATATGTATCATATATGATTACATGCACATATAGGTGTATGTGGATTTTTATTTGCTGCATTGACAAGTATGAAAGCTATTCTGTAATATTGTTTCTGAACAGTTTTTATTATGATCCACACTTCCTACATTCCTGAGTGGTGCAATTTAAGGTACATGCGTGTAATTTTCAATGTTCAGTGGTGAAGGAACACTGTAATTTTGTGCAGGTATGCAGAAGAAAAGCCTTTCGAGCCCTGTGATGTTACTGTTCCAACACAAGGATCCATTGTAAGTTCAGTGAACATGACTGGTGGTACACCGGGTCAGGCCCCAGGTCTCCAGGACAAACAGGACTCCCAGACACTGTGTTCACAAAAGGCAGGATACACCAGCCGACATGGGGAGTCAGCTTTGGCAACTTGTCCAGAAATGTGGATACAAACACTCAATCCCTTTCTAAAGCCTAGTAAAGGGATAATCCACTTAATACAAGTATGTCAGGGAGGGAAAGATTACATTTTTTTTATTCACATATATTTATTGAGTATGAGGCAAAAAGCAAAATTTGCTTATTTTTATATGACACCTTCTACTCAAAACATACAACGAGTGTAAAACACATAGACAAGATACATGCATAATTACAACAATACAAGGTGGGTAAAACCAAGATAAATACAAACAAGACAAGTTGGTGATCTATCAATTACGAGAATCTACCCGTACGGTAAATGAAGTTTTGGACTATATCAAAAACATTACAGTTTTGTAGGTGTGAGAGTGATGTCAACCTTCGACGTAGTAAGGAACATAGGGAACTGTCACTGAGATGCTGTAGCTCTACTATGTTGGAGAGAGATGATAACAGAGTACTTCTTTGACTGGAATAAAGTTTACAATGTAGAAAGTAGTGTTCGGTTGTTTCACTATGATAGCCACATTTACATGTAGGGTAATCAATACAACAATATTTCTGATAGTATGAGAAAAATTGTAACAGATATTGGGAGTACATGTATGTACAAAGGAAAGTTTAACTTAGTTTTTTGCACGAGGGATTAAAGAGGCCATCTACATCAGGGCATTACAACCATCCCTCAACAGAGACGGGGGGCGCCACAGACTTTCTGCAACCTATGATCCACTGCTCACGGAGTCACGTGTGTTATCTGCGTGATGTCACGGAAGCGGTATATTGTTCATTCCTTGACATTCCAAGATGGCCGCGTCTGCTTTTTGATCCTCTGATCTTCTCAGTTTTTACTATCCTTACGTCAATATAGTACACAGTAGTGCTACATTTGCTTTGAAGTTGTAAACGTACAACTTTCTGACCAAGTCTGAACGGATCTCTGGGTCATTTTGTGCACTCTTTTGACGTCCTCGACGCACATCATCCAAACGACGCGGGAGAAGCAGTCACAAAGACCGTCACGACATCTGTGTCACCTAGTCTGAAGCCGAACAACCGCAGCGGGCTCCCTTAGTGGAGCCCCCGCCGTGTTACTTGGCGGGAAATTCCCAGGTGTGCGACAGCCTGAGTGAATTAGCATCTCGCAAGCTGGCGTCTTCCCTCACCTCAACCCTGAATGTTGTTACCGCTCAATCTCTCCAACAAAAGGACTTAGGAAGAAAATCGGTGAGTTCGTTCCAATTTATAAACATAAGCACTTCTTCCATTTTCAACCATGCCTCGCGGTCAGAAAAATCCTCCAGAAGACGAGGTTGTTACAGTAGGGGTAATGAAGGAAATGATGGAACAAAACAAAGCCTACTATGAAGATCTGTTGAAAAGACAGGAGGCTCTTTTTCAATCCTTCACGCAAATGCTGATGGATTCAGCTAACAAACGCATTGATTCTCTTGTACGTGAAGTCCAAGAATTCAAGTCTTCACTACAGTACACGCAGTCAGAAGTCGACACTCTCAAATCATCTCTGAAAGAAGCACGCTCAGAAGCCAACATCCTGCAGACCACCATTGAGTCTATGAAGTGTGGCAAGTCTCAAGATACACCAGAACTTGCAAAGAAAATGGATTACCTGGAAAATCAAAGTCGCAGGAACAACATTGTCATCGATGGAGTGGAGGGCGACAGCAGTAAGGAAACATGGGCGGAGTCTGAGGAAAAGGTCCGGAATCTCCTCTCAAAAAACCTGCAGCTCGATCCGAAGACAATCGAGATAGAACGAGCACATCGTAACGGCCCCTACAAGAGGGATTCTCAACGCCCCAGACAAATCGTGGTGAAACTCCTCCGATTTAAAGACAAACAGCTCATCTTGAGCAAATCTAGATCACTTCTCAAAAACACTACTATATTTATCAACGAGGACTTCTCCGAACAAGTACGGAAACGTAGAGCAGAACTTAGTGCCAGCTATGAAAGCGGCAAGACAACGTGGTGACTACGCCGTGATAAACTATGACAAACTGGTGATCAGAAAGAAAGAAGCATGATATATATGATATGTAATAAAGTATTTTTTTGCTTCCCCTCTGTATTTTTGTGTAATATTGTCTTCTAAGTATCAATATGACTGAGTCAATTTCATCCCCAAAAGCAGGAAAACAAGGAACACAAACCACAGGTATGTATCCATTTGAAGTTGATAATTTGATGTTTAACCCCTTTTTGTTGAACGATGAACATGGCAATGAATCTAAATACACAGACAAGTGGGATCCTGACCTAAACTTTTTCAATAACTCCTCAAACAATTCCTGCCAATACTATTCAGAAAACTCATTTAAGGATCTGTGCGAAAAGGTATCTTGTGAAACTTCAAATTTCTCACTGTTTCATTTTAATATTAGGAGCCTTCCACGGAATTATGACAATTTCATTCATTACTTATCAACTTTGCAGCATGAGTTTTCAGCCATTGGCCTGACCGAAACTTGGCTCAATGACTCTACTTCCCACCTTTATGACATCCCTAACTATACTTCCTTACACAGTTGTAGAACTAACAGAATTGGGGGCGGGGTATCCATTTTTATACAGCAGAGCTTGGAATACATTGAGAGAAAAGACCTTGTCATCCAAATAGATGAAGATATGATTGAATCCATCTTTATAGAAATCCCACATTCCTCATCTCCAATGGAAAAAGGTATTATATTAGGTTGCATCTACCGTCCACCCAACACCGACATTAAGAACTTTATAAGTTATCTTTCCTCAACTCTAGATGCAATCAACAAAGAAGGAAAACTTTGCTACTTGCTTGGTGATTTTAACATAGATCTTCTCAAACACGAAAGCCACGCTTTAAGTGCTGACTTTCTAAACACCCTATATTCGTGCACATTTTACCCTACAATAACCAAGCCATCTAGGATAACAAATAGATCGGCTACATTAATAGACAACATTATGTCAAACTCGATGATCAATCCTCACTCAGCAGGTCTCCTTGTTACAGATATTTCAGATCACTTACCTGTATTCTGCATTACCTCCTTCATGAAAACAGATAGACCATCAAAAGGACAAGTACATCGTTTCCGTAAGTTTTATCAATGTAATATCGATAAATTTAAAGCTCTCTTATCAGTGGAAAGTTGGGAATCTGTGTATTGTAATACTGATGCAAACACTTCTTACAGTAAATTTCTCGAAATTTTTAATTCCCATTTCGAACAATGTTTTCCCCTTAAAACAATCTCAACAAGAAGAAACTTGGATAACAACGTTAACAAAGCCTGGTTCACAAAGGGATTACGCAAGTCCTCTAACAGGAAAAATCAGCTTTATAGAAAGTACCTCAAGAACCCCACCCCTTCAACATTACAAACATATAAAACATATAGAAACAAATTCAACTTTTTAATTCGTACATCTAAGAAGCAATACTATCAGAATAGGTTTAAAGCTGCTTCAAATAACATACGTAATACTTGGAAAACTATAAATGAACTTCTAAACAGGAAAAGGTCAGTGTCTACTCTTCCTTCAAAGTTTATAGATGGGGAAATGAAATACAAATAAAGTAAGATATAGTTAACAAGTTTAACGATTTTTTTGTAAATATCGGCCCTTCCCTGGCAAGTAAAATAGACAAGACTGACCAATCTCCATCATCCTACGTACAAAATGATATTCCTCCCATCAACTTATTTGACGCACCTAGCACAGCAGAAATTCATGACATAATTAACAATCTTCAAAATGCTGCCCCTGGTAAGGATAGAAATTAATGCAACTACTTTAAACAGATTAATGCAGAAATCCTAGAACCCATTACTCATGTCTTTAAAGTTTCTTTAGAGACAGGAAAAGTGCCCTCCGACTTAAAAGTAGCCAAGGTAATCCCGCTTTATAAAGCCGGTGATCCATGTGTGTTTACAAATTATCGACCAATTTCTATCTTACCAGCACTCTCAAAAATTTTAGAAAAAATAGTGTATAACAGAATCTTGAAGCACCTTGAAAATAACAACATTTTATACACACACCAATATGGATTCCGTAAAAACCACTCAACATATATGGCCCTATTACAACTAATAAATAAAATTACGTCAGCTTTGGAAAAAAACGAATTCAGTATCGGGATATTCCTCGACTTATCGAAAGCTTTCGATACTGTGGATCACAAAATATTACTTAGCAAACTAAACTCTTACGGCTTCAAAGGTACAGCCCTTCAATGGTTAAAAGATTATTTGTCCGATAGAATGCAGTATGTTTCGAGTAATAACTTCACTTCATCTCTAAAATCAGTAACATGCGGAGTCCCACAAGGATCTATACTCGGTCCTCTTTTGTTCCTGATTTATGTCAATGATCTTGCCCTGGTATCAGTCAAACTCTTCACTCTATTATTTGCCGATGATACTAATCTTTTCTATTCTCACAATAATTTTCATACACTAATAACAACCGTTAATGAAGAGCTATGTAAACTAAACGACTGGTTTAAGTTAAATAAGTTGTCTCTTAACATAGATAAAACGAACTTCATTATTTTCACAGGTAGAAGTAAAAAATACGACAAAGAAATAGCTAATATATACATAGACAATAAACCAATCAAACAGGTATGTAACACACGGTTTCTAGGAGTCCTAATTGATGAGAAACTCACATGGAAGTTTCATATTGACCGTATTTGTAAACAAATCTATAAGAACATTGGTATAATAAGAAAAGTTGCAAGTTGCCTATCACGTAAAATATTTATCACTCTGTACTATACTTTGATTTATCCCTACTTAACATATTGTAATATAGTCTGGGCTAGTACATACACTACTTCAATCCGACCGCTGCATCAGCTGCAGAAGCGCTTCGTTAGGATTGCATCTAATGTCCCATTTTTTGCTAACTCTGCGGCTCTATTTTACAACTTGAAAATTTTAACAGTGTACGACATAAATAAACTCCAAACAGCAATTTTCGTCCACAAAGTCTTACACAAAAGTTCACAATTACCAGTTCAATTCAAGGACATATTTCAATACAACTCAGATATCCACAGTTACAGTACCAGAAAGCAAAATGATTTAAGGCCAATCCTAACAAAATCAAATATGAAACAGTTTACGATAATGTTTAGAGGCCCGTTAATTTGGAACAGTATAAGTCATTCACAGCAGAATTGCCAATCCCTTCCAACTTTCAAACGACATTTAAAAACTGACCTAATAGAGAAGCCATCTACCACTTCCTGATTTGCTTTTGTTTTCCTTGTTTTCTTATGCTACGATATTTTCCTTGCGTTAATATTGGTTTCTTATGTTGTTCTTACCATATTAACTTATGATTTGACTAATGGAAATGTATTTTTTGTTGAATACGATATGTTTTTGATTGTCTTACTTTATTGTTTAGATATTTAGTTTGGCCGTGTTAACTTTATATTATCTTGTTTGAGTTAATTTTCTCTTGTTTGTCCCTTAAGACATGCATGTTAATTGTTAACGTAAATAATGTTGTAAATATGAGATCATCAACAGGATTTGGGAGAGCCCACTAGATAAACCTCCTGGTTTCTTGGGCTCTCCTGCATGTATTTGATTGTACATAATTTCTTTTTATACCATTACTTTTTTTATGTGCGAAAGGACAATAAACAATAAACAAAAATAAACAAAGACTGGAGTTGTACAGTCGAAAATTTGTGAGATTTGTTGTGTTGGAAATTACAGTTTAAACTTGCTTCATAAGGAAAGTTAGTTCTTTTCTACATGTACAAATCACGTTATATTTGTGGTGGCAAAATTTCGCAGTCTGAGAAAAATGGACATGTTCGCAGAACTACTAGTATATGTTCGTGGTGGAGGAAGGAGTAGGAAAAAGAATTTTAAAGCGAATTACAAATGTATTTCTTCGTGGTATTGACAAATTCGCAGTATAGAAGTGACCACAAAAACCACGAATATAAAAGTACCACGAATATAACGTCATTTACAGTTATTTGGTGTCTGTCTTTCTCTCTTTCATAATAGGTGGATGTTGTCCCACTTAACATTCATCCATATTCAAATCAGAAGAAGACAGGACAATGCCATGTCTCCCATGGTTCATCAACAAATGGCTTAGTTTTTTGTAAAGCCCCAGACATCACCACTTCAGGAAGCTGTTCGTGGATACAAATTGGGTGTTACCATGGCAATGAACCATTCATGTGTTTTTGTTTGACATTCCAAAGCAGGCTGATTGTTTTCTAAGAATACCAAACTTTCTAATACTACTGCTTTTTGGTCTGATTTAGAGAAGTGTAGTCGTGTATCTTAGGAAGAAATAAAAAATAGGAAGTTTTTAAAAACTAATAATACACTAACGTCCACAGGGAATTCTTTACACACAAAGTAATCAGTGAATCTGTCTTGGCAGTCGTTCTATCGACAGGAACAAATTCTTTTGGGTTTGTGCAGTGGCCTGTAAGGCCTGGTCCTTTGATGTTCAATGTTATAGCCTTCCACTACGTGGAGAAAGATTTCACAGATTACATTGTAAGACAGCGCCCTGTCCAAAAATTGGACATCAATGGATGACCTACTTCTACAGCTGTCAGCTAAGGCCACACCAATTTAATTTCTTGGTTAACAGATTCGCCCGCTTCATTTTTTTCAGATTTGCAAGAAAAAAAAAAGATACTGGTTCAGAATCAACTGCAAAAATGCTCATATTTTGCCCTGAACAGTTGAAAACAGCCCATTTCATCCTAGTTGTTACAGTTATTCCATCTTTCAATACAGTAGTTTCATTACAAGTTCAAAATTCATTGTTTAAATTTTGAACCAGCCTGGTGTGTTGACTTCATGGCTCCTATCGTACCATTTTGGGCCATAATAGGATGCCTAGGCCTGTTTTTCCTTTTTTTTCGCCCGCCCACTCCATTAATTTTCTAGAAAAATCCGTTAACCAAGAAATTAAATTGGTGTGGCCTAATGGAATAGGTTTTCTTCTGAACTTTTTCTCTTAATCGTCAATCGTTAACCAGCACTACTGCTTTTGGTTTGATTTGTAGAAATAGAACCATGTAGCTTTGATAGGAGGAAATAAAAAATCAGAGGTTTTTAAAAAGGAAAAAATAAAAACTGGCCCCAACTGTCAGCTAATGAAATAGGTAGTCTTCCAAACATTTTCTTTTAATCGTTTACTTCAGAAACAGAATGACATAAGATATTCTGCAATGGCTATTATTTCTGAACAGTTTTTACCATGATCCACACTTCCTAAAGTCAGACTGAAAGAATCCTCAAAAGCTCTGTAACTCAATAACTTTGAGTGAATTCTAAACAGACTAAAGCCAACTTAAGACTGACGATGGTATACGATCGCACGACAATCGTTGTGGGCGACGGCTGGCTTTAGACACATGACCAGGAAGTGTGGCGGACACCCGCAGCGCAGCATAGCACGCCACGCGCTGATTCAAAATGGCAAGAGAGCCCCCTTTTTCGGCATGCTGCAGCAGATTGTTTTTCTTCTGCTTTTAACTCGTGTTGTCCCGTAGACGAGACGCAGAGTTTGTGCCCAGCAAAGAAGGGGTATGAGGCACATGTACCGAGCGGGGCAATACTCCGGGTTTGAACCCGGCATTCGGTGCTGCCGTCGGCCTGGCTATATTGGCCGGGAAATGTGGATCGGCAGATCGGTTCGTTATGGAGAAGTAGCGACATCTTGACGATAAACATTTGTACGACTATTTAACCGTCGTCAGTCTAAAGTCGGCCTAAGCAATCTGTATCTGTATTGATATAGCCGGTATAACCGCCCATCGGCGTAACACACCAGCTATGTGAGCATACTTGTCACTTGGAGATGAGTTCTATATATCCGGTGATGACAACATCTACAATGTTTTGATAGATACTGATCTAGCTGTCATCATACCCTTGAACAACATTACACATTCTAGACACAGCATGACTTCCAAAGTCAAATATCAGTTGTTGTGATTTTGCCCAGTTGGAATGCTGCCAGTGTGCTTTACAATGTTGCATGTATCTAGTTCTCAACACATGGCCTACAAGATAACCCAGGATATCTACTACATCATGTATTCCTTCTTTTTAACTGAATGATATAAATATAGGCATCCTGAAATACATGTACATCTCTTAAAGGCATCCAGTGCAGCTTTTAGGGCTTTGAAACCCAATTTTTTCAAAGCCAATAGTCTGGTCATTTATCTACATACTGAGTTGAAACTACATTATCCCAATGTATATTGACCCTCATGGACCAAAAATTCTGACGGAAAATGGTTTTAGTGGAAGGGCTCTTGGCTGATTGTAGGGTACCACCCAGAAAATAAAGGACTCATCCTGGGGCTTGTTTCTGCAGTTTTAAAGGCCCAAAAGGATGAAATACTGATTCAAATGTGCTGATGTGAAGCAGTATGTGTCAATATCACAAAAATTGCATTATTCAGAATATTTCCAGTTTTGCTGCCCTGAAATCGCATTTGATCTTAATACTACAGTAACAGTAACTACATAGTGTTAAAAAAATACAGGTACAAATGTGACAATAGACGTAGAAATCCTCACCTTTTTTTCCTTGTTCCTCAAAGAAAAGCCTCTGTACCATCCTGAAAAATGTAATTTTAATTGTTAAAACAACAATTCAAGTTCAATACTATCGTGACAACAATCGTTATACAACTATGATATAAGGCCACACAAATATAATTAATTGGTTCTCGGATTCACCCGCTTCAATTTTTGTTATTTGAAAAAAAAAAAAAAAGATTAAGGTTCTGAATTAACTCCAATATGCTCATATTTTGACCCAAATAGCTGAAGAAAGCTCCTTGTCTTCCTGCAAATGTAGTTGAATGAATGAATATTCACTTCATGTTGTGTGTCAGGAAAAATCTGACAACCAACAAATCAAATTGGTGTGGCCTAACTTACAGTTGTTACATGTTACAAGTACATGTACATTTTTTCGCGCAGAAATTTATTTGTCACTTCAACTTAGTTCAGGATCAATAAATGGTGTGGATTTATGGATTGTGGATTAGTAAATGGTCATTTCATAACAAGTATCAATTATTTGAGGAAGAATCATATATAAGTGATGTGACTCATACCTGCACATTCTTCTAAAATCTGCACTGTCTCTCCAATCTGTAGATTGACCCCACAAGGAAGCTTGCTCACATAGTTGTCTATGGCTGGAAAATACAAACATTACAAATACAGATCAATCATACAACTTAAAAATCAATATCAAACATTCTATTCTATTTCTATACCTTCTATTCGTATAAATTCTTTTATTTATACATTTTCTTACTGACATTTTTAATTCTTAGATTCAGTATTTTTCATAATCAATAATAAAGCACAAGTTCATGTATTACAAAAGTACACAGCTTTATTGTATCAGAATCTGATACATAATTCAGTTTGAAGTCAGCAGCTCTTTAAGATAAATAGAATATTAACGTATTATTATTTCACACTTTACATGTATATGACCTACTGTGGTAAATTACATTGTATTTCGCTAGTACTTTCACAATAAAACCACAAACCAATATTAAATCCTATTATACCCTTCTTGGTGTTTTATTGCTATATATTAATCAGATCATAATTGATACTGGAAACATGCCATATGCAGGCTAACATGGTTAGATGCCCATGAATTTTGGCTAAGTGACCATGAATTTTGGCTAAGTGACCATGAATTTTGGCTAAGTGACCATGAATTTTGGCTAAGTGACCATGAATTTCAGCTAAGTGACCATGAATTTTGGCTAAGTGACCATGAATTTCAGCTAAGTGACCACGAATATGACATTAACATCTAGCAAGTACATTCTGGATATCATCTAGAAAGGGAATAGACCTGTGATGATTGTGATGAATGCAAATTCTGAATTCAAACTTCAAGATAGGATAAAAATTACACAACCACTTGTTCAACAAGACCTGATGTTTTGATGACCATCTGTCATCTTCATCGGGGCAACCATTATGTGTTTGATGAGCCTCTGCAGGGCTCGAAATACCCATGTACAATGTGCAAAATGCACATGATTTTCAAGATTTGCACTTTATAATAGTTTGAATATGCAATTTTGCACCTAGTGCAGGAGGGGGAGGGGGGCACACTGCAGGCAAAGAAGTAAAAATTAACCATACCGGTACATTATCTAATATAAAGCAGCACATTTACTTTACATATCATACAGGATAATCAAAGGAAACAAATATGCAAAATGAATATAATTTATTGCTCTCAGACAGTTGGTACATGTCCTTTATGTGCCGTATAAAATGTTTTTAATTTCAGGAAGTTCCAACAGTTACTGAAAAAAAAAAATATTTTGAGCCCTGCTCTGTCATGATGAAGATGACAGACGGTCATCGAAACATCAGCTCTAGTTAAACAAGTGGTTGTGAATAAAGAACTTTACTATTCAATCATTCACCAACCTAAAGCCATACCAAGTTAATCTGCTGGTTCTCAAAGTTTTTCAGAAAAAATATGAAGCGACAGGGCGAAAAAAATAAAAACATGTCTAGGCAACCTATTATACTTATAGCCCCAAATGCTACGATAGCATTAACATAGCTGGAACAAGTAGCTTTAGGAAGAAAAGGACTTTCCTCAACTGTTGGGGACAAAATATAAGCATTTTCGAGTTGATTCAGAACCAGAATCTTTTTCTTCTTCTGCGAATCAGAAAAAGACGAAGAGGCGAATCCGAGAACCAACAAATTAAATTGGTGTGGCCTAAAGAAATTATTCACAGCTTTCAAATTATACTGTGGAAGCTGAAAATGTTAGCTATATTTCAAGAGGTTGTTTTTTTTTGTTTTCTTCTTAAATTTGTCTGCCTCAACTAGAACACAAGTCCTACTCTTTTGAAAGCCAACTGTTGCAGTGTTTGTTTCCAACTTTCAGCACCAAACATGACTCAAACTCAAACAGTTCATGACATGGGTATTTGCAAAGTAAAGAAGGCACCAAATGCGGGTCAAATAGCACCTGTGAATATATCAGGCAATGTTGGTACTAAATGGTAGCCTCCGTAGCAGGCTTATAGAACTGGGGTTTTGGTGGTCTTCGGCTGTTTTCTGATTAGCCCAGTTCTAAAAACAGGGGTAATTCAACCAGGCCGGCCATGTCGTCTATATGCAATCAGAAAATAGCACATCAAAGATCCCAAAGACCTTGAAGAACCCTAATACCCCCAGTTTTTTGGCATGTTATGGAGGCTGCAAAGTTGGCAACTTCTACCATGGAGTTAAAATCAAAAGGATTTAACCTCCTTGCTTCTACTTTTGCTCAAAACAAGGAGGTTGTATTCTAGTTCTATCTCTATGCTCAAAATTAACAAGCAGATTCTTGAATTGGTGGAAAAGAACAATTTATAGGAAGCTTCAAATAAAAAATAAGAATAATTTCCACACAACAGTAAATCAAATAGCAAATCTGCCACTTCCTTTTCTACGATAAACCACAAAAGTGAGAGGAAAATTTGTTGTCAATACATTTCCTGAACAAAATATCTTTTATTGCCAAATACGTACATATGACAGGAACCAAAAATTGGATTAGAGGGAAACATTGCAGTGACTGTCTCCATAAAATCTAATTTCCTGTGGTGAATGGAGATGATGGTAGATTACTGTAATTCCCTCTATCTTCACAGTAGCCAAATTTCACAGTCTGAGAAAAATTGACATATTCACCGAACTTAACCTTCAAGTCTAGAAAGGGGGATGAAAGACATATGATTTGATAACAGTAATGATAAGTTCACGGTACAGAAATGACAGTGAAAACGGTGAAATTAAAAGAGCTGCAAAAAAATCAGGAATTACAGTATTCTACATGCCAGACAATCAGCCCATAGGCAAGGACAGGCACATAAATAATGTCATTATACTAGATCTAAGACCAACTAGAAAGGCTGAAATTTGCTTTGAAGCAAATGTAGCATGGCTTCACCACGTTTCACAACATGGCAGGGAAAGAAGGAGAAATACAAGGGAAAACAATGCTTTATATTGATATAAATATATGTAGTATGAAGTGACATATAACTAAGAATGCAACAGTTGGATGGCTATCCCCTATATTATTGGTTAGGATTTTTATTTGCATAATGCTAACTGTTGGTACAGGCAAAAGCCTGTATCAAGAAAATGGAAAAAAAAACGCCTGGGGGTATTTGGCCACTGTACCTTCATGCCAAATTTCATGTTATTTGGCCCAAAAATGAAGGAGACGGAGGAGAAGAAGAAACATGAGGAAAAACAATATGACTTCACCACTATGTGGTGAAGCCATAACTAAACCACAATGCTTACAGTAGCATATAATCAATATACTGGTAGTTCAAAGTCAAGGGAAAAAATGCGTATCAAGAATTTGTAGGTGAACTTGTTTGACCTGAGTCATTGGAGGGGTCGGCGCTAGGTTACGTCCAATCACAAAGTAGATGACAAGCCTGACATTTTCAGAATTTGAACTGGAAGGGTGGGGTAACCGGCATTGGGCGAGCCAACTGGCAGTGTTCCATTCTGAATTCTCTGGACTAGAGACAACTTTGACGAAGTTCAAAGTATATCCTATTTGGTATCTATCTTGGGTATAGAATCCCAAAAACTCAACAGAAAAGAAGGATAGCTATATCTTTCATGTATGACATGGTATATGAAAAGATCTAGAGCTCAATGGTGAATTGAGTTCATGGTGGAAAAATAAATAAAATATGAATATGTATATATACAATTCAGCGTGCAAAATATCTGGTTGCCAAGTTTCCCCAGGCAACCTATTTTTGAACCTAGGTAGCCCAGTGTGCTACCTGGAGTTTAAGAATGCCCCCCCCCCAAACTATGCCCACTTGGCTTGCACCACTGTATCTGGCAGATGCTTTTTAATTTTAGGTATTAATGGCTATTACTAGTATCAGTTCACTAAAGCCAAAAGCCTGTTAGAAATATTGTCAAAGGCTTATGTATGTAACATTACTTAATTTGAGGAAAGTAGTAACTTATAGGTGGGGCAACCTAAAATTCTGATGGGCAACCTAATTTTTGCCTTATTGCAACCTGGTTCAAAAAATATTTTGTACACTGATACATGTAGTATAAACTTAACATATTATGGAAGCTGCATCTTACAAAAGCATGTACAGTGTACTTTCACTTGAAATGCAGGTTAAATACACAGACTTAATGATGGTCTCCGGTTTCCTGTTTGTATGTCTCACAGGAACACCTACCTAATGAACTGTAACAATGTTCAGGTCTGGTCACATACCAACCAACTACTACACTTACTGCTATAAGGCCACACCAATTTAATTTCTTGGTTAACGGATTCGCCCACTTCATTTTTTCTGATTTGCAGCAAAAAAAATCAGTATCAACTGCAAAATGCTCATATTTTGTCCTGAACAGTTGAAAACAGTCCTTTTCTTCCTAGTTGTTACAGTCATTCCATCTTTCAATGCAGTGTTATCATTAAAAGTTCAAAATTCATTGTTTAAATTTTGAACCAGCCTGGTGTGTTGACTTCATGGCTCCTATCGTACCATTTTGAGCCATAATATCAATAGGATACCTAGGCCTGTTTTTTTTTTACGCCACCCACTCCATTATTCATTTAGAAAAATCCGTTAACCAAGAAATTGAATTGGTATGGCCTAATCCTTACTACACATGTAATGATCTATGTTAAGTATAATGCACCTGACAAGAGCATCACTCTTCAAACTTTCTAAGGAAAAAAAACATCTGTATTCTGTACTGAATTTCTGTGACTGCACAGGACAGGAAAGTTAGCCTCTACCAGGCTTCAGGAGTGGCAAACTGTACTCTCTTCAGCAGACCAACTCCCCTGGCATGTTATTTTATGCCTATTAGGCCAATTTCTACTCTTTCCAGCCACTTCTGAAGCCTGGTAGAGGCTACTACAGTACCGTTCGCGTTATAGTTAACCGGGTACCCCGTTACTAACGAGTTATTTTTTCGTCAGAAAATGGTTAGAAAATCGTCAGTATTTGGTTAGATTTTCGTCAGAAAATGGTTAGAAAATCGTCAGAAATTATTTCTAACGCGTTACCGTTTGCGTTAATGTGATAGGGTCGGATTTCATGTTTGTTTTGCGCGCCGACAAGACAATAGCAATTTGCCACCTCCTGGGGCG